AAGATTAGCAGCCCGACTTGTAACCATTGTGCTACCAGAGCTGCTAACTACGAGGCTGGCAGCAAATCTGCAGGAGAAAGATGAGGCTTTCTTTTCCCCTAAAGAAACCCTTTACAGGGTTGCTGTGAGTCGGAACTGACTCCACAGCACATAACAACAACAACAACAACAAAGTTTTATTGCCTTGCTATGACTTGGAACCGACTCAGTGCACTTAATAACGATGACATTGCAACACATATGATATCCCTCCCACAGCAAACTCTACTCAACTGGGTGCCGTCATTTATTGCAATGGTCACACAGAATTTAGACATGCTTAGGTAGCTCCTCTCAGTTAAGTACCTGGAGGCACCCCATTCTTCAAGTAAGTCTCCTTCTAAAAGTCACTCAGCTTTACTTGCTCCATAGGCTGGGTGCCCATCGCTCTGCTCTCTCTTGTGCTTTTGCTGCCTCTGCTCCTCTGCCACTCCTCCAGTTTGCAGTTTTCTTTTTGCTGGGTCAAGGTGGTTCAATGTGCAGGAATCTTGGGATCCAAAAGATGCAGTCCACTCCTGACTCTTCTTTGATGGCAATGAGATCTCCCACTCCTGCTTCACAGAGGACTCATTGTATACATGTTAGAACTCCGAGTTTTTACAATCACAGTTTACTCTGTTAACCATTCACAACTGTCATTTTGTCATTTTGTCATCATCTTTTCCCACCTTCTCCTACTCAGATTCATCAGGGTAAAAATATTGTTTGGTGGACTTTAGAAGACTATGGGTAGAAGTACACTACAATTAGTACTGTTGTTGCAAGATTATACTCATGTATGTTATAGAATTTATCCTCTGTTGTTTTTAAGTTGCTGTTGACTTGGTTCCGACTCATAGCAACCCTATGCCCAACAAAACAAAACACAACCCACTCCTGTGCCAACTTTACAGTGATGTTTGAGCCCATTGATGCTGTTACTGTGTCAGTCTATCTCATGGGGGATCTTCCTCTTTTTCTCTGACCCATCGTTTTACAAGCATTATGTCCTTCTCCATTATGTCCGATGGATCTTGGCTGAAAGCAGAGAATATCAGAAGGATGTTTACCTGTGCTTTATTGACTACGCAAAGGCTTTCGATTGTGTGGATC